CGTTTCAGTGGCAGGATCCTTAGGGTTTCTAAAGCCCCAGCAGATAATTAACCAGTCTGTAAGACCCCACTCTGAGCCCAGTGAATGCTAGGCTCTTCTTTAAAACAAGTTACTGAGTCTTTTGAAAGCTGTTTATGTACCTAACAGCACCTTGCAAAACAAACCAGGAACAGATCCTAATTCCCATATGCCCTATTTCCAACCCATTTTCCCGCTGGGAGTCGGGGAGGGGTTATCAGTGTTGTAAAGGAACTGTGGCTTGGTATTTATGTGAAAGAACTTTGGGAAATCTCAGCTGTGAACTGCCTGGTATTTCTGTAGAAGTGAGAGCTACAGGCATAGCTAGTACCAGTGGTTGTGCTGCAAATGGTTCACCTAGTGCATCTGCATATCAGCTTCCTCTGTGAAAAGAGTAGAAAGCATAAAACAGAACTTAGTCCTATACTTGTTTTCTCAAAAATATCCTTCTGTTTCCTTCCTTTGCCCCAGCCTGTTGGCCACACTTCCCCAAAAGCTGCAAAACCTCTTAGCATGCAGTGTTTAAATGGCACTTCTGCCCGTAGCACCAATTCAGATATTTGGGGAGGGTGCAAGGCAAATTCCAGATCCTCCCTCTGCCCCCCCCGCCCCCGAGAGTCCAGCTTCCCTAGGCCAGGAAACCTTCCCTCTCACCTTCATAGATTCCACGGCCAGAATGGACCATTGTGATCCTATAGTCTGACATCCTATTTAACACGGACCATAGAATGTCCCCAAAATAATTCCTAGTGTCTCTCTTAGAAAAACATCCAATATTAATTTTAAAAATTGTCAATGACAGAGCATCCATCATGACCCTTGGTAAGTTGTTCCAATGGTTAGCTACTTTCAACTTCTAACAATTTACATGTTGTTTCCAGTCTGAATTTGTCTAGCTTCAGCTTCCAGCCATTGCATTATGTTGTACCTTTCTCTGCTAGATTGAAGAGTCCAATATTAAGTATTTGTTCCCCATGTAGGTACTAATTGACTGTAATTCAGTCACCGGCGCATGAGCCAGCGCAGCCAGGAGACAAGTTCTTGGCAGATTCCCCAGGCACCAGGTTGCAACACCACTAGGCTCGGCTGCTCCTCTGCCCATATGAAAGGGCAGTTGGGTCAACTTCAATGGCGTTGTGACACGCAGCCAGAGCGACACTCTGGACCACTCCAATAGCAGCTGTACTGAAGTAGAACAGGACCACTGCTTAAAAATAGTTGGGTCATGACCTCCTCCGGCTCTGAGGCCTATGGAACTTGGAGCAAGTGCCAAAACATTGCAGGGGCGATTCACGCTCCGGCCCCCAAAGTCCTCTTTCACTGGCTTCTTCCTGCCCAAAGAAGGAAGCATGCAGCTGAGGCGCATTCTTCGGTCTCCCACCAATCCTCTCTGTAAATGCACACATGCAGTACAGAGGTTTCACCACAGGCTGAAGAGGAAATTTTTGTGAGAGGTCTGATAAAAGATGGCCCTCATTTAAAAACTGGAAGAGAAGGAGGTAATGAGGGGTGTACTGGGCTGTGCGTTGTACCGTACTGCAGCTCTCTGTTGGAAATGAGGAACTCCAGTATCCTTTGGTCTTTGGATTCTTGTTCTATTTATTAAAGTAATTACAGCATTTTAACAGGAAACTGGATTCCCCTTCAGTTTGAGCCCTCATCGGTTCCTTCCCCTTGGGGGAGCTTTTGCAATTGCTCCCTAGCCATCAAGGCAAGAGGCCCGGGTGCAGACGTAAAGGGGGGGAACCAAGAGGAAGAATTAAAGTTGAGGATGGAGAGGCGAGGCAGGCTGTCCCTAGCCATTTTGCTGCCCTAAGAAAATGTAGTTCAGCCAGCACAACACATTCTGTCCCTTCTTAAAAAACACTTTCATTAGGGATTTAAGTTTTCTGTTCAGTAATACAACTTTTTGAGACTCACATTTTCTGCCTTGCATTCATTCTTTTCACTTTGCCCTCTCACTTCCTTTGCTGTTCTCCATGACCCTGTTGTATCTTGGTATTTTTCCATTGGCTTTTTACATTTGTTTTTCTGTCAGCTGTATTTTTCTTTATAGCATACCAACTGTTCCTCTTTCCTTCTCCCCCCTTCCTCATTCTTTTCCGGTGTAGCGGTCGCTCCCTCGATCCCCTCTCTCTCTCTCTCTCTCTCTCTGTTCCCCAGTCTCTCTGATTTCTCCACTAGTCTAGCTTCTCTCACACTCTCCTCGTTTCCCCCCCAGCAAATTACACACACACACACACACACACACACACACACACACATCAGTGCCTCTTCCCCCGCACAGAATTACTCTGGAGCACACGCACATGGTGGCTCCCTTATCCACACACTAGGGTGACCAGACAGTAAATGTGAAAAATGGGGACACGGGGTGTGTGTGTGTGTGT